ACAGGGCGTCTCACAACTGGTGTAAGTCGTTGAAGAGGTTGTCTGAACCTGAACAACTTTGGTTCTTTTTTTGTTGATAATTAAAAATTGAAACTGCAAACGCTATTCACCTCAGCCACCCCTTTTTATAAGTCACCAGTTATGAAATACCCTGTAGAATCTTAAAATACCAGTTTCTGAATCTAATTACATTAGGCTGGATGTTTACGAGTTTTCGTGACACATGTCGTTATTTTTAATTTTAGAAATATAAAGTTTGTCTCGTTGACCCACTTATGGCTAATGGCAATGGAAAATCGTCTACGTTCCATATTTTTATCGACGAACGTATTCGTCGTGATTTATTATCTGTCACTTTGACGAGACCAATTTTTAATAAATATTACAACATGTTATTTCGCTTGACCTGTTTATTCCTCAGAAAATGAAAAATGTTTCCTGGTACACATAAATCATGAACCTCGATGCCCGCGAGCGCAACGGGCACTTGATCTGCCCGCCCCTTCGGTGCACTCTGATCGAAACTGATTCTTGGTTTTTACCCCGTAGCGCGTTTCCACTCGATTATTAAAATGCAATTAAAGGAGAATCGAACAGATCATACGTTGAAAAGTTTCCCTTTACGATGGATCTTATATCGTGCTATTAAATTATGTTCAATGATGCCTTCGTTATGCATTGTGCATTGCGAGCTCGATTATCGAATAATACGTGAATATAATACGCCATTATGCCAGCTCGTGGGGGGAGGAACCGATTACTTCGCATTCAAGTCGTGCAATCTCGTCGTGAAATCTCCGGAAAGTACAGGAAGATTTAATCCGAGCAACCCTCCACTATATTCCGTGGAAGCACAATAATTCGTGCACAACATTGCCATTGTATTTATATTCGATACTCGTTCGAGGATTGGTCGGGACATTTACGTGAAATGATGCATCGTTTTATTCCATAATGTTCACCCTTACGACATCTCATAACCTGGGGTGCAATACTCGAATCGAATTTACCTTTTCTATATAAAAATTGATGGCAACTGCTAGAGATGACATATACAGGTCGTCTCACAAGTGGTGTTACTCTCGAAAAGGGGTTGTCATATTATAACCCTCTATGGACCACAAAACCGAAATCAAATTCACCGTTTTCTGTATAAAAATTGATAGCAACTGCAAGAGATGACATATACAGGTCGTCTCACAAGTGGTGTTACTCTCAAAAAGGGGTTGTCATATTATAACCCTCTGTGAACCACAAAACTGAAATCAAATTCACCGTTTTCTGTATAAAAATTGATAGCACCTGCAAGAGATGACATATACAGGTCGTCTCACAAGTGGTGTTACTCCCAAAAAGGGGTTGTCATATTATAACCCTCTATGGACCACAAAACTGAAATCAAATTCACCCTTTTCTGTATAAAAATTGATAGCACCTGCTAGAGATGACATATACAGGTCGTCTCACAAGTGGTGTTACTTTCAAAAAGGGGTTGTCATATTATAACCCTCTATGGACCACAAAACTGAAATCAAATTCACCGTTTTCTGTATAAAAATTGATAGCAACTGCTAGAGATGACATATACAGGTCGTCTCACAAGTGGTGCTACTCTCAAAAAGGGGTTGTCATATTATAACCCTCTATGGACCACAAATCTGAAATCAAATTCACCGTTTTCTGTATAAAAATTGATAGCAACTGCAAGAGATGACATACAGGTCGTCTCACAAGTGGTGTTACTCTCAAAAAAGGGGTTGGTGTTAACTAAGAAATGTAGCTGACTTTTTGGTTCCAATTGGTTGGTGTCTTTTTGCAAAAGTTCAAAAGGAAAGCTTCAACCCACAGTTTACAAAAGAAAAAGTGTAAAATCACGTGTGCTAACCCTGTAACATTGTGGGGTAATATTACTTGAAATACCCTGTATATGTGACACTGAATCTCCCCCAAATCTGACTGATTCTAACCAGATCTCAACTAACTTTGAAACTGAATTTTATATTAGAGTTCACCCCTTTCTCATGCAAAGTACTCTGAAATGCCACCACCCTGCGAGAAGAAAAATATCAACTTCTGCAGTTCGCTGCAACGAAAAGAAGTGACAGAAGCATCCGTCTCCCTTAACCCCATAAGAAGCGCATTTTCCGATCGGTTAAACCCGACCAAACCTCGGCTCGACTCTTCCCAGGGGTTGAAACAGGAACTGCGAACCGAAGAAGCGGAGGAAGAATGAAAGAAACAGGCGGAAAAGGGAGGTCGACTAGATTGAGGCATGATTGAAAATTCTGCCCCCGGCTACAGGGTTGCTTTCGATTTAAATGTATACACCACTGACAAGTTTCGTTACTTTTACACGTGGAGTGAATCGCGACTAATGGGGGTGACATTTCGTATCCAATTTAAAATTGTATTTCTGTAACATATAAATTAATCAAAATATAATAAACTTATATTAAAGAAGAATTTCAAAATTGTTTTAAAATTTATTGGAAAGAGTAAATTAGTGTTTCTAGGTATTTATTGTCTGCTCCCCTGGGTTCACATTGCGTAACCTAACCATGAATGTACCCATTTTAACTAGAGCTAATGGAATTTTAAAGATAGCCCCAAGAAACAAATAACAGTTCTATCACAGGAAACTACCTGAAGGGGTAGTTTGATTACTCGTGGTTATAAGATGCTTTAGAATGTTTCTTTACATTATTTCACTCGGTATTGCTTCCTTCCGGCGATTGTTCATAGAGCTTTTTTGCAGGGGTGGTAGGGATACGAGGGAAGTTAAATGAGAGTTGAATTGGGTAACTTTGTAGGAGCGTTGTTTTGGTTGTTTTAGGGGTGAACAGTTGTTTAGAATTGTTTTGTAGTCTTCTGTGCAAGGCGCTGCAAGTGTGGAGGACGTTGTTGTGAAATGTACGAGCTTTTGATTTCTTTGCTCTTGCATTGTATGATCACGCTTTATACGGTCAAGTATTGTATTACCATGCTTTGTATGGTCAGATGTTGGCATGGATCGAATTATCATAGGCCAGAGTACCAGGTATTGAATTACCAAGCGTTGGAGTACCACGTATCGAATTACCACTTGTCCGAACATCACATATGAAACTACCACGCGTCCGAATAACCACGTATCGAATTACTATGCGTGAGAGTACCATGTATTAAATTACCACGCGTCCGAATGCCACGTATAGAATTACCACGCGTCCGAGTAACCACGTATCGAATTACCACGCGTCCGAATAACCACATATAGAATTACCACTCGTCCGAATACCACGTATCGAATTACCACGCATCGAATTACCACGCGTCGAATCACTACATATCGAATTACCGCGCATCGAATTTCCATGTATCAAATTACCACGCATCGAATTTCCATGTATCAAATTACCACGCGTCGAATTTCCACGTATCGAATTACCACGCGTCGAATTTCCACGTATCGAGTTACCACGCGTAGAATTACCACGCGCCGAATCACTACATATCGAATTACCACGCGCTGAATACTCAAGGATCAAATTACAACGCGTCGAATTACTACGCGCCGAATCACCACATATCGAATTACCACGCGCCGAATACTCAAGGATCAAATTACCACGC